CCTGCAGCCGTACTTGGTGTACTGGATGCCTGGGAGAGCAGAGCACGGGCAGTGAGTCAATGGGTGCAGGGGTCCTGCCGGCTCCCAGCCCGCTCTCCCCCTGCATCCCTGTGTGCCCTGCGGTGTCACCACTCTGGTGGGACCCACACAGGGCTTTGCCCAGGCTTGCAGAAGATGCTCATGTGGGTGCCGGGGCCCCCAGCCTTCTGGGGTCACCCAGGCTACTGTGGGGCGCACACGCAGAGAGGGGCAAAGCAGACTCAGCCTTCCAACCTTTCCTTCCCCAAGCTGCTCTCCCAAAAATCCCAGGTCAAGACATGAGAGTTTCCTGGTGGGGACCCAGCCACGAGCATTTAGCAAGCTACAGATTTGGCTTTATTTCTCCACTACCCGTTGGCTCAAATGGGGTTAAAACCAGCAAACCAATTAAAAACTCATAAAAGTTTCATAGGCAGAGAAAAGGGTATGCACATACAATCGTGTAAGCCTCTTCTCATAGGAAATCTGGCTAAAATGCTCACCTAAACTGCTATGCAATAATGTTTTTCAAATTAATATTCCCACGTGGCAGAATCCCCAAATTAGAGGTGCAAGGAACGCGGGTATGGGTGTGAAGAAGAAAGCCAGGCCGCCGAGCAATACCACGCCTAGGTCTAAACTCGCAACGCGTGATCTTGGGGAGAAACGATTTCAAAAAGCATCTCCATGTTTCAAGCCCCAAAGGGCTCACGCCCTGCCTAACACACCCAAACATCCTCCCAAGCCTCCACAGGCTGCTGCGAGGGGAAAGCTACCTCCTCCGCACGCCTTGGAGCACTGAGACCAGCTCTTGAGGGCCCACTCGTAGGAATCCATCTCCTCGAGCAGGACGTTGTTGTTCCCGATCATGGGCAGCAGGTCTTCGTGGATGATGTAGCGGTACATCAGGCTGCTCCTCGCCTCCTCCTCCTGCGGGATGACCTGCGGACAGAGAGAGGACAATTGGCGAGGGGGAAGGAGTGATGGCACGGGAGAGGGAAGGGAAGGCCATCAAAGAGAAAACAAAGTGAGCAATGACCACAGTGGTACAGTACACACAAGAATAGGAGAAACAAAACCCCTTAATTACCTCCAACACAATTAGGTGGGCTCTGAACACGGAGTCTCCTTCCCTTTGGGAACATACCCCCACAGTTGTGGAGAAACAAGCTGCCCAAACATCCCAACTCCAGCCTTGGATCGCATGCCCCTGGCCTCTCCTCTAACCCACAGGATCACAGTCTATGCCCAAAGCCAGCACTGGCCACGGGGATGGATGGAAGACCAGGCAACCCAGTACCTAACTCCCCCAAATACCAGTATAACCCAAGCGAGACGTGGTGTCATAAGCAATGGCTGCACGGAGCAAACTACAGTCGCACTCAGAGGCAAGCACCCGAGCAATGCATCCATTCTGGCACGCAGCTCATCACCCCTTGCTTTTGGCTAGCTCATATCCCCGGTTTTAAGGACATGCCTGACATCTTTCCTGTACCAAAGCCCTTCCATCACCTCCTACATCCCATCTCAGACCACCTTCCCTCTCCGTACCACTGGGAGATGGACGACCCCAGAGGATGTGTCAGTCAGGCTTACCAAAACGCTGATGGCCTCGTGCAGAGGGCCGCTGGTTTTCAGGCTCTCCTTGCCGTGTTCAATGGTGTATTCCCACTCCAAGCCCATCTCAATGAACACTTGGCTTTTGGCTTCTTTGCCTTTGGCATTAAGGATGAAGTTACCCGTGGCCTGATTCTTAACAGCTGGAGGAGAAAAGAGGTATTTCAAGGTCATTTCCTTTGGTCTCTGCCTCTGAAGGACTGGAATGACCCAAGTAAGACCCTTTGCGTGGGAATTATGAGAATAGGGCTGAGAAAGAGGTAGCGGGTGAAGGGGGAGGCGTACGCACCGATGCTGTGGGATGCTGGCTCCATCTCTTCTATCTGAAGGTGCCTCGCTCCAGCCGGAATCTCAAACATCTTCAAAACACCTGCTGAAAGGGGAGGGAGGAAGGATAGAGGGAACAGAAAGAGCACGTTTACTCCTATCGGACACGCATCCACATAGGAATCCCACTGACCCTGACCAAATCCGCTCCCAAACCCATCCAGCCCGCTCACCCGGCTGCTTAGGGGTCTTGGCCAGCGTGCCTTTCACCGTCCGGCAGTGGGAGTTGTCCCCCCCGCAGACCCCACACTTGTCATCCTGCTTCAGGGAGCCGACCTCCTTGTCACAGCCGACGTGCTGTCACCCATGGGGAAGAGGAGAGAAGCAGGGGGTTACACCCTGCAGCCCCACAACCCACCGCTCCGCCACCCCCATAGCCCTTTGCTGCACACAGGGTCGGTCCCTCGGCTAAAACGTGCATCCCTGAGAAGGGCTGTGGGTCAAGGGGATGCACCAGCTCTCCCCTGGAGAGGCAAAGGACAGGGACAGTCGCGCAGCAGCCCTCGGCTCCTCACCACGCACTCGCCCCGGACGCAGATGCTGTAGGGGTCTCGGTAGCTGCAGCGGGTGCCGTCGTGAACAACCTGGTTCATGAACACCACGTCCCCCGTTCCCTCGGACTGGCAGATCAGCTCACACTTCTGAGCATCTGTGGCAAAATACAAAGTAAAGAGGTGAAAAACAAAAAAAAAAAAAAAAGGGGGCAGGGGTGTGTGGAAACACATTAGGCTGATTGTAGATAGAAACCCATCTCAGCTTGCACCCGTGAGCGCAGCCAGATTTCCAGATTCACGCGCCTTATTTTACTGCGTCTGTTTGCTGCTCAAGAGCCTCTACTTTTGCCCAGCCCTCTCAGAAAACTAAGAGAGGGCAACAGGACTGGACGTGCTACTTGTCACTGCAATGCAAGACGCGTGGCTGCGTGCACAAGGAACACCAAGCCGGGCAGGCAGACCTGGCTCCCAGCCCAGCCCAGGGCACTGCTGCTCCGGGAGCGAGCGGGCAGCGCCGTCACCCCACCGTCTCCGAGGAAAAAAAGCCCTCTGCATGCCAAAGCACACAGAGAGCGGAGAGAAAACTTTAAACGCGGCGCCAAGGGATTTATCTCTGGCTACCATTACAGGGGGCTCTCCTGTTACTAGACAGGAGGAGCAGGGAGAGGTTTCAACACAAGCTGATAGCCTCAAGCCCACCCCTCCGCTGCTCTCCGAGACAGCAGGAACCAGAGCAACATCTGGCTTTCTCCCCGTGACACCTGCGGGCGAGCGCAAGAGACTCATTTTAAAGACCTGGCTGCTCGATGCCCACTTATTGCGCTCCAGTTTCCAGCTCGAGAGTTTTCCACAACCCAGCACCTGCGCAACCAGCACAGTCTCCATCCCATGGTGATGGCCAACAGCGTGACCTCCTCTGGGAGGGAAGGCAATTTGGCTACTGGTCCTTTGCTAGGACCCGCCGCCACTCACCGTCGTGATGCTCGTAGGGAAGCCAAGAGTGCTTGCTGTTCTGGTGGGTGTAGTAGGAGTTGCGCTTGGAGCATTGCTGGGCACGGAAATCCTGGTAGTGCCCCGGGCACTCCTCGGCGTTGCACACTTGGTACTCGTAGGTGGCTCCCGGGCACTGGCGCCCACCGTACGCCGGGCTGGAAAAGAAACCGTGTGGGTAGAAAGACTGTCAGGGGAAGGGGATGCTGTCCCCAGGCGAGGCACTCGGCGCCCAAACGCGCTGGCAGGAGCGGGTGTCCTCATCCCTGCTGTCTGAGCACACAAGGGAGGAGCGAGGGATGTGTCGCACTCGGTCACTTCCCGTTTTACCCCCGCTAAAAGGGGGGAGGCGGAGGCCA